TTGGTATGAGGGATTTGGAAGGGGGGAGGGGAGGGAAGGGGAGGGATTTTAATCATTTTCCCTTGTTTGGCAACACACAAATCTTATGAGGGGAGGGAAATTTTTTTAAAATTTCCCCTCCCCTCCCCTCCCCAACCTCCCCTCCAAAATTGGGAGGATTTAGAAGGAAAATGCAATATTTTGTCACATTATGACCATTATGCCCATATTTTGTCATGTTGTGACCATTATACCCACGCCTTAAATAAAATAAGAGCAAAATTGTCCATATTAAAATATTTTCATCTCCCCTCCTCTCTTTTTTATAAATCCAAACAAGATAATATTAAAATCCCTCCCCTCCCCTCCATTAAAATCCTCTCCCCCTTTCTTTTTATTGAGCCAAACATATCCTAAGAGTATTGTCTTATAATAAACTATGGATGGGGTTATGTAAACAGACATAAAATGGAAGATTAGAAAAACGGGGATGAGGCGATGATAAAATAGAGCGAGAGTTGGGGGGGGGGGGGATAGATCAGAAAAGGAGCGGTCTACTGAAAACGGGGTAAGTGAAGGGCAGGATGGTCACGTGCACACCAACCCGAGTGAGGGTTGCGTAGCACGTGTTTGTTAGCTAGACAGCGGACGCCCACGTTCCCTCTACGCTCACCTCACTTTTTTAACTTTGTCAAACGTCAACGCCTTTACACCAAAAAATAAATGTTTGCACAGCATCACTACAAATAAATATGTATTCTGCCAAACAAAAGTTCTTGTTATATGTTTGTTTCCTACAACACAAAATCATTTAAAATGAATTAAACCAAACACCCCGCAAAATTTTTTTGTAAAAACAGGTTTATATTTTTATATCATATCTTGTGTTTGATGACCTGATCTCTAATTAAGTGATTAGTCACCCTTTTTTCTCCCCACCGATTCAAAAAGGTTATGACAAAGCCAACTTCCATTTCACGCCAAGAATTCTTTTTGAGGTTTGTTAACAGTAAATGTGAATGCGGAATTTAGTTTATTTCCACAACCATTAATATTGGAAGACTGGAATTCAACTCATTTGTCATGATAGCTCTTATCATATTTCCCGACATTTTTAAATCATTTTTTAATTTCTTATAATGACATTTTTTTAAAAAGAATATATTTCCAACCTATTATTTTTAATCAATTTTAACTAATTATTTATTGCTTGTAAATTAGTTATTTAAAATTTATAACAAAAATTGGAGGGATTAATTATAATGTCAAGAGTAAATTTACTACCGTGTTCCTTGCATTTTCGGGCATTAACATCTATCTTCATGAGAAGAAAGTCAACTTTGATTGGGAGGAGGCAGAGCGAGAGACTTGACCGAGGAGGGAGGAAGAAGCGGCTGCATGTTCCGGGAAGCAGGTCCTTTTCATACTCTTTAGCCGGTCACGCTTAATTAATTATCAGCCTTGTGGGTTGGGTTGTAAATTTAAAGAGGGCAGAGTACTGTGATTAAATTACATACTTAGCCCCCAACAAAATCTACATATCATCCTCCTGTCTCGATCTTATATTTATATTTTTATATATCTTGATTGTATTTTCAACGATGGACCTATAAATACTTATAACAATGTTCATGTCCGAGGGCAGGCAAATAAATTTTATAAACACACATAAAATTAAATTTTATAAATACACATAAAATTAAATTGAGACACCATCTCCAGCTTCGATGGGAATTTCGATCTTTAATTTCCGGATATTGAATTAAACTACACACGATACGAGATGAGATTGAGAGAAGGAATTAACTGATGATGCCGAAGGTGGTAGTAGATAAGAAGAAGAGGAAAATGACAGTTGACGATAACGTTAAGCAGGAAGGATGTTATATTCAGTGAATTTGTTCAAAAACCCAAATATTACTTTTATTTATTTGTGGGTAATTTATCTTCAATTGCCTACAAAATAAAAAACATTTATGTTGTGGAAAAGTTTACTAGATAAAGGTACAGCACTATAATCTTATTTTTCAGATACATCTAATATCTTGATCTTTTATATAATACATCTATTACTCTAATCTTATTTTTTTAGTAAATTCGACACCCTCATCTTATTTTTAGTGCGACATTCTAAAAAATAACATGATGGATGCAACTAAAAAAATAACATCAGGTGCTATATATATATTGGGAAAATAGGATCAAAATAATAAATACACCATATAAAAAATCAAAATGCTAGTTTTACCTAAAAAAATAACATGGGAATGCTGGTTGTGCCCTTACCATTAAACATTATCGCAGGAGGTTTTTCAGCAATTTTTTAAAAGCAACTATATGATGTTTAAATTTTTTTTTTTTTCATTTTTTAGGTATCAAGCTTATGTGGCTGCTAATCTGGCCAGCACGTGCTAAACAGTCACGTTGCGTTGGTAGGTAATGACGTGGCCAACCTAACTTTCCTAAATCTTAAATCCCAACCAGTGAAACCTTGTGTTTGTCCACATCCACAACGTGCAGATTCACCCTGCGCACGTCCCTCTAGTATTAACTAACAAAACAATCATCCAAATATTTCCCTCACGAGCAAACCCAAAAAACAACAAAGCAAAGACACCAGGTCTCGGGGAAAAGTTAACTACTCCTCCGATCCTTAATATAAGGCCCATTTGACTAATTTGATTAGATTAAGGAAGTTAGGTAAGTTAGTTAATTATGAGAAATGTGATATGTTTTTCCTAAAACACCATGATCATCTTTCTTAATACATTTCTCCCTCTTCTACTTGATTATGGTTTAGGGAATATCTATAGGGGTAATTTAGAGAAAATTGATAAATATGAGAAATGGGTCTTATATTTAGGACAAAAAATAACTCAACAATTAGGTCCTATATTAAGGACCGGAGGAGTATAATTTATTTCTGATACCACACTAGATTATTTCTATTTTAAAAAATAAAACCGATCTAGTATGTAAATTGTAAACCTACAGGCAATGTCTTATAAACTATTTATCTAATGTTTTCATATTTTGCTGCTCCCACTGCCTCAATTATTCTCAGTTTCATTTAACCGACACAACTTTCTATATTATGCTTTCATATTTTGTGTACTTCTATATTTGCTTCGGTTTCAATTTTAATTTATCTTTTTAATGCTCGGTGAACGGTTTTTTTTATCAATTAATCAAACACATACGCGCGCGCGTATATAAAGCGCGCAGGGCACGCGAACGACGCCTTGGGGAATTCTGGTTTATTTTCTCATTTAATAATTACACGAAAATGCGCCTCTCAGAGAGTTGAAACTAGGCTGTTAATCTACACATACATAACTGAAAAAAAATATTATCTTGGCCAGGATAAAAAATTATTTCGATTAACTTTTAATATTTATTATCTCAAGTTCCCTAATTATACATGGTTTTTTTTCATATAACTTATAGTTAAATCATAATATTTTAAAAGTAGAAGCAACTTGTTGTAAGTATAGTTTAAATAAAATAAAATAACCAATACATGTTCTTACAAAAATTCCATAAAATTTAAATTTGAACTAGTATTGAACTAATCCATAGTCATGCCCAAAATTAGGGGCATATATTATAACTCTTTAAAAAATTTTAAGATACTGAATGCAATTAAAATTATTAATAAAATTCTAAAAAATTATATAATTTCCCAAAATCACGAACAATTACCCATGCGGGGCCATGCAGCATTTTTTTATAGGAGCTGTTAAATTAAAAAAAATTATAAGATTTTCAATTTGCCAAATGCCTCTTTAACTTCCCATTATTCCCATTTAGCTAATCATCACTGCCCTTTTGCGGATTTTATGGAGGCCACCAAATAAAAAAAAAAAGGTCAGTTTTCTCATGAATTTATTCTAGATATTTTAAATTCAAAATTTGAATTGATTTTATCTTAAATATTTTAAATTTGAAATTATGGATTATTTCAAAACTTATATAGATATATTTTAGATTTGAGATTGTTTCAAAATATTTTGTTTGGATATAAAAAGTCGTTCGTCTTTCTATCTATTTTCAAGACTGTAATTTCTTTTCTTTTTTGTTTAAAAGGCTATAGTACTAGCTTTTGTTTTTATAATTATATTCTAATGATTAATTTTGCTATAATTTTTATCAAATTAACTCTCTGTAATATAAATTAAAGGCCTGTTGTATGCATTTTACAGGTATATAGTCTCATAGAAGCTTCTGTTCTTATTGTAAGTTTTAAATAATTAATTTATAGATAACGAACTGTTCGTTAAAATTAAGTAAAAACAAACAAATAAATAAAGATAAAATAAAAAATATATTAAATATTAAGAAAAATATCAAAGTATAGCTTATAAAGTGTATCATATCCTTTTCTAATTTGGAAGCATATACATAAGATTGGAGGAAGTATTATTTATAAAATGTTACCGTACTATAATAAAACCAATACAAATACTCATTATATTTATAAGTCACTTCTAACATATTTTACATATTCTAATAAAAACTTTAAACTTCATTAACTCTTATTTAAAATTCAACAACTTTTTAAATTTATTCCTATTTAATATATAATATAACTCATGAAAATAAAATCAATATACATTCATATGAAAATTTTCTTTTTTCTCTGTATTATAAACAGGACGAGATGAATACTTATTACTTACTTTTGCTGGTAAAAAACCAACTACTCCTTCTAGTCCTTATTACAAGGGTTATTCAAAAGAAAATTCTGGTCCCGATTACAAGGGTCAACAGGGTCATTAATGAGTTTTTCCTACCTGACTCTTGGTTACAAATTATTATTACTCATGTAAATAATTTTTTGCTAACTTCTTGAAATTTGTTACAAGAATAGGTTTGAAAAATTTTATACTTTTTAGAAGACATCTGTCATTTTTTTGGTCTCTCTGAATTAGTTTTATAACAAAAATCAGGAGTATTACTTATTTTATGTTTTTCGTGACTCTGATTACTTATTAGGTTTCGTAATTATTCTACTAGTAGTTTAGTACGCTGGCAAATGCCTGTGGTAACTGGGGTCGTTCGTCTTGTTCTCTGCGCAAAAACGAGGAGCAGAGGCCGCGTCTTACAAACTAGGCAGAGCTCCGCACTTGGAAACGCTATCTCTTTGCCGCCAACTGTGACTTCTCAACGTTCAAGTTTTGCTTTCCGTTATTGACTCACCCTCTCCGACGATGAGTTTTGGCGCCACTTTCCTCCCGCCATTTCCTGTTCCCCACAAGCATTTTTCCCTTCCAATTAAGGTGCCTTTTTTTTCTTTCAATCCGTTCTCCTCTGGCAAATCATGGGATGTTTACCATCCTAATATCAAAAGACGTACAGAATCTTGGATTATTAGGCAATGGAGATGCCTTTGTGCTGTGGTTTAACTGAAGTATAGTTCTTGCCCACAAGCTGTTTGTCTTTTTGTCAATTCGACTACTGGCATTTTTCTGTTGACCTATGACTGCAACTAGCTCCATAAGCGGTACTTGAATTTGCATACGCGTTATTATTAACCCCCCCCCCAAAAAAAAAAAAACCTATCCACGGCCTACCAATCTTTATTTGATAACACAATGGTTGAGAAAACAGTTGAGTTTTTCATCTCTTTTGCTCTCTAGAGGAACGAATGCCCCAAAACTGCCTTATTAGTCTAGTGGAGTCCCATAGAATCTTATGTTTTGTAAGGAATGATTTAAAGCGAGGCATAACAGTTTCTCTTTGGTTGATCATCTGATTTTTTTTTCTCCAATTCCGATTCTCAAAGGATAATGTCTATGGTGCATATGAATTTTCAGTAGTCTGTGGAGGAACTCAAAATTCGATATCGTGATCGAATTGTCTGGTCATCCGCATATTTCTGGACACCAAAGGCTTATATTACAATATAAGAGGGCTTCATGCTAAAAAGTATTAATCTTATTTGTTTGCTTACGCATGCAAATCTGTAACTGAACTTAGGATTCCAGGGCTACCTTCCACTGATTTCGTAATATATTTCATTTACTATTTATATAATTTATAGTTATGTGCTAATATCAAAATTTGTTTACTCGTCAGGGAAACAAAACAGAGATACTAATTTCAAGTTATGAAGATCGTTTTCTGGTGAGTGCTGATGGGAACAGGCATTTTGCACGCTTCTATGAGTACAATTCTAACTTTTGACTATGTGTCAGGTTATTGCTACTCAAATAGGAACCATGGGGACAATACTGCATGCTAGGTTAGTTCGAGTCTTGTGCAATATCACTGCCTTAAATTATTTCTTGGATATGCTTTTTAGGTCCCAAAAACTATTTCTTTGAAAATAGACTAATTCTTAGTCAATTTTCAAGTGATTGAACATTGCAAATCTATCATGCTCCTCTATCATCACCAGTTTTATATTAATAAATGCACCTTACGGTTTTTCATTGAACTTGTGAACTTAAATAGGTTTTCAAAGTTTTATATCAAAGTAAATCTTTATCCTAAAAAATTGAAACAATCAACTTTATGGACGATATGTTGTTATAGAATTTTATAACCACACCCATGCATACTATGATTCGGCAATTGAAAATGGTAAAGCCTAAGAAAATGAATTGCACACCAGGACCATGCATCTGGTTTCGGGTAATTGCATTAGCAGTGTCTGCCTGGCTTGTAAGATAGCTTCTAGAAACACAAAATGCGTTCAAGTATGGTGGTTTTGACGACCAACAGAGCTGCAAAGTCCATGGTCTTTGAAGCAAAATATTGGCATAAAAGTGAAGTTTTCATTGGATTATAGACTTATAGGGGAATTGAAGTTTTGTGCATCTTGAAAAATGGGAAGAATGTTTGATGCTCTGGTAGTGATACTTTTAGGAGAGGAAAATTAAATTAATGCTTTAGTAATCCACTTTTTCCCTCGTCCATCTTGGATTCCTAGAGCCATTGTAGGCTTCCAGAAAGCATTCTTCTGGAAGAAATGAATGTTCACGCATTTTTTTCCCTCTACCAGAAGGGAACAAGGATGTCGATTAATCCAACATTCAACGTGTCGGTCATTTTTGGCAAACGGGATGAGGTAAGCCAACCTATGAAATTATTTTTCTTCTCTCTATCTGAAGGTTGTACTTGATCTTCTCAAATTGCTGTGATGCAGCAAATGCTAGAGGCGTGTGCGCGTCAGCTAATTGAACACATGAGGTCGGTATGCTTCTTTGACAAGAGAAACTATTTTATTACACATCATCCCGACTTTTGGGCGTTCAACATCATAATTGTGACTTGAATATATTTTAAGAATCTATGACCTTATCTATACATGATGCCAACCCCAGTTTCAAGATTGAAACGAGTTTCATTTTATTAGATTGAATTCCTACGTCTTTTCCTTTGGTCTTTGCACTCGTGGTATTTGACATCTCATTGCCTTGACTGATTTCCTAGAATTACAGTATTCGCAATTCAATTCTTGTTTTGCAGTTCCTCTGGCTCCTCTAAGCCATTAGTGCTCTCTCTTGGTCTTAAAGACCATTCTACGGTACTTTTCACTGCCGCATGCGTCATTTTTTAAACAGAAATATGCAGCGACACTCATCTTCCACTTTTATGCAGGAAACGCTGAAGGCTATTGTTTCTGCTGTGATTGACAATCGCCTCTGGTAATTAGTTGCTGCTCCACTGTCAAATTTCGCCATCTGGTCTCCCTTCCAGCCAACGGGCCTGACCTTCGATATTTAAATACGCCTACCAGACTGTTTCGATACAAGTATACAAAATACGTTTATAATTTACCTGGCCACTCTTCGATTTTCAGTTGTTGCTTGTAATTACTGAGCGAACATTTTCTGTTTTGATTTCTAAATTTTGCTAATCTCGCTTGGAGTTAACATAGAGGAATACTATTCCTTTCTAAATCATCATAAATGAAAAAAGGAACATTACTCCGAAAGTGTTTTTGGATTAAGTTATCTCAGAAGTGTCAAAATGAAACAATAGTGCCTTTACCGTCAAAAAATTGATGATCAATAAACTTATTAAGGTTATAGTATATATTTTGTTTTTTAACTTTGCACAAAATTTCAATTTGATTTCTTAACTTTAAAAAGCATACATTTAATCTTTTAATCTTAAAATTATTAGGTTTCAATGATGATTTTTTATAATAATCATGGATTTTTTAAAAATTAAACTTAATATGTTAGCATTTGAAAATGTTTTATCAATAGTTAAGATTTTAATATCATCATTTTTAAAAAAAAATAGATTTAAAGGATTAAAAGTATACTTTTTGAAACTAAGGGATAAATTAAAATTTTGTACAAAGTTAGCTTCAGGACAATATTGAATTGAATTAAAAAAGAAAAAACAAAACTTTCGGAACATCTCTTCGAACCAAACCTTTTGAGGTAGATTTACGCTTTTACGGATTATCATTCAACTCATATACTGCGAAAACTATTTCCAAGAAGAATTATACTGAGAGCTCAAATTCATAAATTGTTATTAAGAAGATCCTCGAATTATTATTATCAATTATTAAAAGTGCCATAACAGCTCCGTTCACCCGAAGAAGGTGCATGTGGAGGCGACTCCATTAGCCCCCGCTTTAATCAGTGCGAGATAAAAAGAGGGTATTTTATTTATTGCTTGGAGAGAAATCGAGAGGAACTTGGAGGAGAAGCGTGTTTTAATTACATTATCAGGTCAATAAATTACATTTTACACAAGCGACTCGATATATTATCAGAAAATAACAAAATTGGTGTCCGCATTAACACAGTTTATACATGGTACACTAAAATACAAGAGCGAAGTGCCCCCCCACCCGTCCTTGGACAAAGTCGCAGTCCGTCGGGCTATGTTGCAAGTAAAAAAAGGTCGTCGGTGATGGTCTATCGAGTCAACAAGAAGGCTCATCAGCTTTCTCTGCACTCTTCAACTCTGTTAGCCATAGAGCTCAACTGCTTCTCTAACTGCAAATATAACAAAAGGTGAGATACGCCGAAAGATGCCCAACCATATTCCGAAGCTGCCGAAAGGTGCAAGAAATATTCCATTGTATCAGTACTAGTGCAAACCATACAGAAGGTGAACCCTAAAAGAGCTCCACAAGAATTGCCATCCCACAGTCGTCTCTCTCTCTCAAATGCATGGCAGCTTTAATAGTCACGAGGCTTTTTGCTCAGATTACGAACTCTAATGCACAGTGCCTATTTGGATTTCCACCCCTACAGAAGGCCAAAAATGCTCTTCGCTGAAAATAGCCTCGTATTTCTTTATTTTATTTCAGTGCCTTAAGCTTGCATGTGCTTCTTTTGGGGAAAAAATTAAACAAAGTTTGCGTTGAAAATGCCTTGCAACCAAATCTCTAAGGAAACACTCAGAAGAAGAAGAAGCTCTATGCAATCCTTTTACTCCTAAGCAAGATTAAACTATAAAGGAATCTAGAGTGAATAAACTTGAGAGGAAAAAAATATATCCTCTTCTCCTGCAACCTCACCAAGCAAAATCTTGGTATTCATCAACAACTATAAAACCAGGCGAAAGGAGTTAGAATATAATTAAAAGGTCAGGACGAGACATGCTCATTTAATGATGCATTGCTGAATCCCAGGGCTGCCTTAGCAAAGTTACAATGAAACCTAAGCCTACTCAATGGAAGTAAGGGGAAAAAGATGGGGGGAACCAGAGCGAATAGGTAGTTCATATCTCTATTAGTATGATTAAGATTGGCATGATAACAAGAATAGCATCTAGAGCCATCCATACAGAAATGTGAGAATAATGGGAAACTACTAAAATTGATTTCTTACCTGGGCATTCTTCATTTTCTGTCTTTGCACTTCCTCAACAAGACTCCCAATGCTGAGATAAGAGTTAATAATCAGATTCACTTAAAATTTAGTAAAAGGATTGAGAATTAACCGTATAAAAAGTATTGAATCAAAAAGTTATTTTAGGGAGCATTTGATGAGTGGGCATCTTAATCTTGCAATTACTTAAGCATTAAGAAATCTGGAGTACGTGAGACATGTGACAAATTCAAGGTCCTTGGGTTTTTTATGCTGATCATCATAGAACCTTGTGTGTGTCTATATATAAATCTCACAGTCATGCACGTGTGTGTGTGGTGTGTGTGTATTTTGTACATAGGTTTCAAAGTAATTGAGAAATTAGGACATCCGCCCATCAAAGTCCACCCAACATAAATCAATATACCTTTGCTGTAATTGAATCACCTGCGCATGCAGCTCCCTCTCCCTATTTGTTGCAGGTGGTGCCTGGAGTTTGCACACATAGGAGTTGAGGTCAATTGACAGAAGAGCATGCAAACAACTAAAATCAGAATATTTGCTAAAACTCCCTCCACACCTAACCCCCCCACCCTTTTCCCGATCAAAATAGTAAAATTACTTCGGTGTTATCCTTACAAGGCCAAGTCCATAATGAGTTCCACAACAGAATAATCAAGGAGCTCCAATTACAGGATCTCCAGTGCACTGATTATGTTCTCATTAGAATGGTTGGGTGCTGGCGCGATTAAACAGACAAAACCTTTACTTTCAGGAAGTAAATAAATAAACTTTCTATGATTCAATTACAGGATTTCCAATGAATTATGTTCTCATTAGAAAGCTTGAGTGCTTGAGGATGTCTTCAAATGCTTGATATAATTCTATCATATAATAGAGCAAAAATAACAATAAACCATCCAATCCAAGCAATGCTCTAACATATCCACAACGTTACACCATTATTCCGTAATTCAACATACAATAGGCACAGATTAAATGAATAAGACAAACATATCGAGGCAGTTTATAAGTTCAAAAGCATAAGCACAGTTATTTACCTGCAAAAGATCAACTATCCCTGCCTCTGCCGATTCAGTATTCTTGCCTGTACAAAGTGAAAAAATAAAATAACAATAAATCAAACAAATCATGATATCCACATATCATCTGGGGATAAAATACAAAGGTTAAAAGATTAAAGACATTACCACAAGATTGCTCCACATACTTTATTAATTTAATAATTTCTTCCTGTCAAAAAATTTATGTGAAATAAGATAAGGTTTATCCTAGCTATGGCACCCAGAAAAATGAAGACATGCAGCAGAAACATACCCTTTGCATGCTGTTCTGTTGCAAAATGAACTGCAGTGACGGAAGAATAGAAGCAACTGTAGAGTTCTGATTTGGTAGAGTGCAGTTTGAAGGACCCTGAATGAGTCAAAGAAATGGCAATGGTTACAAAGCCATTGCCTAAAACATAAATCACCTAAGTTCCATCCTTAGTATTTAATGAAGTCAAGCATCACAAAAGACCTAAATGAGAAATGGGCCAAAAGTGCACTTTGATGCGAAGGACCCCGAATGAGCAAAAGAAACAGCGATTGTTCCGAAGCTCTTCCCTAAAACATTAATCATCTAGTCCCATACTCATTATGTCTGATAGCAGACTTAATTGTTTGACTTATGAGAGCAAACTAGGTTATATTAATCCAACCTGCTTTCTTTCATCTTTCTTCTTTTTGCCAGAAAACCTGCTTTCTTATTGTATTAAGTCATCTTAAGTTGCGTGTGGGTTGTTGGTATTTAATTTCCTAAATTTCTTAGAAGTTGGTAACAATTATTTTGATGCCCCAGCCATAGGCACTGCTTTAAGAAAAACAGCAAAGCTTAGAAAAGCTTTCATCTAAGTAAAATTTTCCAATATCTCTCTATATGTCACAACTCGCAGATTGGTAATAATGATTCTAGGAACCACAACCCATGCATGACAGGACCATGAATACATATTATACCTCATGCATTTGGGCTTGAGAATAATGAACAAACCATTGTAAATGTATGTATGGCCTAAGAGCACAAGTACCTAAATTCATCATTGTTCAATACATTTTATGAAAATTTTACTCTTGGGTTATTAGAGACCTTCATATGTGAATTAGTGTTGAATTGCATCATGCCAAAGAAAGCAGGGATGATTGACAACGCAGTACACACCTTAGGGCTGAGATCTGCTGAAGTAACCTTAAACCGTCCTTTTCGCTGGATAACTGCTCCTTCTGACGCATCATCAGCTGCATAAAGACAAAAGAATAAAAACTTCAGGTAGCCATGCTTTGATGTGTTGATTTCTGAATTGACAAGTACGATTCTAGCTAGGTAGAAAAATCATGAACAAACCATATGATTGTAACCACAACCACGAGGGAGATAGACGTACCAGATGCAAGGTTACTGTTGGTGTCTCTCTTCTGACGATATAACAATGGACCACTATGATTCCGATCAGCATTATATCTTGTTTGCAAATAATCCCTTTTAAGATGCAGATAAAATGACAAATTAGCGCAGTAACATTGCATGAATATGCAACAACAGTAAAGTGGCACGCACAACTACGAGGTGATGAAATTATCTCAAGTCTCACCAATCTAAACGCATCAAGCTTTCAACAAAAAGATTAAATGTCCACAAATTCTCAGACATTATTTTAGCTTCTGAAGTCCTTTACAACCAAGAAAGGGGAAAATTTTGATTACCAGGCAAATACCAATAAACTACAGAAGTTCTAGTAAATAAGTTCAGGCAATGGGAGGTAAGTACTGTTGCAAACGAGAATGCAGTAAACTTCATAGACAAAGCTATGAAACTTACCTGTCCCCGTCAGTAACAACCTTCTTAGGAGAGAGAAAATTATCAGGTACCAAGGAACCACTCGAATACTTTTTATGCTCAGTCATAGCATTTTGTGGCACTGAACAAAGCCCAGAACTTCCATTCTCGTTTCTTCCATAATCATGGTCCAAATCCCTTGTACTTGTGTTATTTGCGTCATCCTCGCAAATGTCAAAACAACTTCTGCATGGTTCGCACATCAAAAAAATAAAAATGATTCCGAACAAAACTGTATCATCAAACTGATCATAATGTTCAACATATGATGTTCATTCTAGCTTATGGAACGGGAATAAAATTGTACTTTAGATACAAAATTTTACTTTCCATAGTTTTATTCGCGTTGCTATTCAGAGGTCTATCTTGTGTGCATCATACATCTTTTACCCATTGCTCTCTCTTTTTTTTTTTTTTTTTGGGGGGGGGGGATAAGAGGTTAAAAGGACATTGCAAGCCATAATTCATGATAACCAGTTCACAAGGCCTAACACAACATGGAGTTTTCTTACTCAGAAACAGCACTTTTCTGTTCACGTGGTTTGCAATTTAAGGTTTTATATCTCAACGTTCTCAAATGAAAATAAGTTTATGATTTGTTGTGCACTATATATTAAGCACAATAATACTTAAACGTGTCAGATTGGGACCAAAGCTTCCACATTAATGCACACAAGTAAAATAAAAAGAAAAAGGAAAATAGCGATACTTAAGTGCTTCAAGAGGTCTAGTTGGAAATGAAGCAAACGAACTCTCCAAATCCTGAAGATCACTGAACCCATCCTGAAATAACATGTAAAGCGAACTCCAATTCACGAATGAATCCATGCAAAAAGCATACTTCAGAGATAAGATTTAGACTTTACAGTTAAAAGATAACGGTTTCAAAATGATAAATATAATAATAGACTATTTTAGGACAATAATGTCACCTCCTTATCCAATGAGGGTTTAGCATCTGAATCGTTAGTTGTTACTGCCAACGACCCTCCTGCAGGAACCCCATTATCATCAGATTTGTTCTTTAGCTTCTTATCCATATCTGGCTCTTCTGCATTTGGCATGTCATCGTCTTGGATCTGGAGGCAATGCATGGCTGGTTACATCAATGATTAATTATAACGCCTAAATCTTCCTCCTAGTTTTAACCATTAAAATCAGACAGCAGGAAGTTGAAACTTACAAGAGCAGCTTGACTCTTTAAATCCTCAAGGTTGAAATTCCAGGCACTGATCCCTCGAATGTACTCTTTCTGCAGAAGTTTGAATGACAATATATTGGATTTTGAAAACATTTAAGTTGGAAGTTTACTACTCTTATTTGGCACACAAGATGCATATTCAACATGTAGCTGGATATTTATAAAAACTCATTTCAGCGGGGAAAACTCCTACAAGAGAAGGCAACTAGGGCTAAACAACCTGCACTGACAGTTCTTGGTCCCATTTGTACTTATCAAACAACAATTTTAAATGAATTCTGCTAAACAATTATTCATCTCTTCTAAGCTGCCCCATCCCTCTGCATATCCGACAAGGATGCTTCTCAAAGAAACGACGAGTAGAACACTAAAAGAGAGGCACAATCATAACCCTGTCCCTAACGGAGAAACAAACAGCCCAATCACTAGACAGAACAGTCACGAATCTTCATAGGATGAACATATCTGTTTCTCAAGTTAACCAAAAAGGCACAATCTGTAAAAGCATAATGCATTCACTTTTAAAAAGACGAGTGAGCTCAGAATATGGCAAACTAAAATCTAAAACTACAAAGAATACGTATACTACAAGTAAATTCAACAAACTTACCTGCGATAATTGTTCTTTATCCTCATAAAGAGCCTTATTCTGCACCAACAAATCAGCCTCTTTTGCCTGGAAAAGACAGGCAGGTCAGAGGAATTATGGTAAAAGAAATGCGCACCCAAAACAGAACACAAGAACTTGGAAATAAATAGCAAACCTTCAACATCCTAAAACGATCTCCTAGAGGTGCAAGGCCATCTAGAACAGTTCGAGTTAGGTATTCAAAGGAGCGTGCGTGTTTGAAGAAAGGATGTTTTAAAAGTTTTTCTGAAGTTGGCCGTTTCTTTGGGTCCTTCACTAAGCAGGTTCCTACCATCTCTTTGAATGACTGAATATAAAGGAAGATCAACTCTTGATTAAAAACAAAATACTTCGCAAATAAAAGAAGCTACAAAGAGTTTCACATTGAACATTGCAAACCTTAGAAAATCTCCTGTCTCTTTCATAATCAAGGCCTGGAGGAGCATTCTGTAACGTCATGAGCAAAACCTGCATGGCCAAAAAAAAAAAAAAAAACAGGGTAAGAGATCAAATCTAAGATCACTCAGGCAATAAGCTTATAAGTTCTACCAGTTCACACGTGCATATAAATAAAGAAGACAAGTATATTACTTTCATTGGTGGATACTTGGAAAATGGGGCATGACCATGAGCAAGTTCAAGTGCTGTTATACCAAATGACCAGATGTCTGCCCTGTTTACAGAGAAAATCGTTTTAAAAAAAGAGAGAGAGAGAGAATGAACATGCAAGCAATGAATATGTGGGGAGGATGAAAGATATTCACTTGAAGTCATATCCATGTAATTGTTGCATAACTTCAGGAGCCATCCTGTGAAAGATACACACAAGATTAAAAAATCTTAGACATGTGATGATAGCTGCGAGGTCAAATATGATATACTATAATGTAGGCGGCCCAAAGGGAAGCAAATAGTACCAGCAAGGAGTTCCAACAAAAGTATTTCTTGATCGCTGCCTATCTCCAGCATCAAACATACATGCTGACACCCCAAAGTCAGCTAATTTGACCGTGCCATCAGAATCAATCAAAATATTCCCAGCCTGCATATTGCTAGAAGTTCATAAGAGGGAAAACGAAAATACCAGAAGCACGAGATTTGCAGGACAGAGATGTTTATGCTTGTAAGAAGGTCACAAGAGCAGAAAACCGAGTACTTTACCTGCCTTCATAATTGATCACACAAAACTCCAATTAGTTATCTACGATTCTACACTACTATAAAGCAAACTCTAAGTAGGATATAAAATTTTTTAATACCGCAATCGTTTTCAACCCACCTATTTACTCAGGTTCATAACGAGTCTGCTATTTAATAAGAACATAAAATAATCCTCCAAATTATTTTTAAAAAAAAAAACTAAGGAAATGAAAATGCTCTTTGATTGAGAAATTTGGTTCTTCATGATACTCCATTTTTAATATCCAGTGGCTGTATATTTTAAAAGAAGAAGAGGCAGAGGAGGAGGAGGAGAAGTATTAGGCAGGATGCAGAGCAATACCTTTACATCTCTATGTATGTGACCATGAGCATGAAGATAGACAAGAGCTTTGAGAACCTCCCGCAATAAAGTAGCAATAACATGCTCTTCAAATCCCTCGGGGTAGTCAGATTTCATTATATGCAGGCAGGATCCCCCCGCCATGTAGGGCATCACAACCCAAAGGTTGTGTCCAGCAGTGAAAGAACAATATGCCCTTAAAACATTTGGATGATCAATCAAGCTCATTGTCTGTACCTCTCTCCTGATGCCATCCTGCATAATTTACAAGAATATTGCATTGCATTGAACGTAATCAGTGTCAAAGCAAAGGAATCTAAGAATATGCATGCACATAAATGCAGACACATCCAATTCAGCATCAAACAAGCAACTGATAATTGAAGTCATCCTTCTATACCTATCACTAGTAATGAAAAGAGCCTCTGAGTGTCAATTGGCTTATTGATAAAGTCATCATGTAGCATTTCAATAAGCCATCAAATCCTACCATCCTAGCATGCAGCAACATCATATAAGTGAATAGATAGCAAAAGCAAAATGTAAAAATAATATAGTGATTCTGAATACGTGGATCAATATTTAAAAAATGACATGAAATTTGAAAATAATCAAAAGAACTGGTGAAACTGAAAGGAGCCTCACAGATGAAGAACCTAGTCCCGGTTACTCTAGGAAAGAGTAATAAAAGACAACTTCATTACAAATAACAAATAAAAAGTTTAGACGTTAAGAGACCAAAAATAATCAGAAATACCCCTATTTAAAAAAAATGAAAAACAGGTAAAAATAATCACTCACAAGAAACCAGAAAAAAAAAAAAAAAAACAAGTATGTTGTATAAGAGATTAGCTGGCATACCAGGTCATTATTGCACTTTTCAAGATCGAGAACCTTGATGGCAACTATTTTGTTGAGTGGCACACAGAGTGCCCTGTACACAGTGGCACTAACGCCTTCACCAACTTCTTCATATAACTTGTAATCTTTCGCATTGAGAGGAAATCTTTTTTCTGATACATGCTCCATTTTTCTTCTTATACCATAACATCCAAACTCTCTCTACTTCTAGATGTTCCAGTTAACATGCAAAGCTTGCATACTGAAGAGGTAAGCATCAAATCAATGCGTTGTATATCCAAATTATGTGGCATTTCTTCGTTCTTTACACCATGCAAGAAAGTGCATCCAACAACTTATGAAGATTTTTTTCTTCCTTTTTTGTTATTTTCACCAGACAAAGTTTCCTATAGCCTCCAATATTAACGGAACCTCACACCTGCATGAAATAGTGATTAATATAAGTTAGTTCAATCGACCATACGTGCTTCCACTAATAGGATAACTTGGTATATTAAATTGAGCTGGCACAGCAAACCAAAGTATAAAATTAGCATGGCAAATGAACAGGCACGTGCGGAGGACATCAAATCAATCTTCAATATTGTCCGCAAACAGGAGAATGACAGAGACACTTGTCAAGAAATTTGATCAGTTGACGACATATACTAGAAATATAAGAGCAAGAAATGAGGAGAGAGATTCGCAATGGAATACAATGATGATTAGTATAGAAATGCCATGTGGTTTGAGAACAGTCACCTATGTTTTCTAAACCGAAATATAGAATTCCAAGCGAAATGTATCGATGAAGTGGGATATCAATTCCATCAGTAAACTGCAAGAATTAATAGAGTAAGGATCCACCAGCAAGAAACACATACTTTCCCCATCCAGCCTCCTTAAATCGAATTGGGCAATACCACCACTTCAACTATTGAAAGTGAAAACTAAAAAATTGAAACTACAGATTGATGCTAAAGAATACTGACCTAGGGTTTCGCCAGCGACAAATCTTCACTTGAACCAGAACTGAATCTGAATCGGTCAGGGAAAAACAATCCCCCCGACAAAATGATACCGATTCAGCTGGGGTTCAAATGTTCCAATTTTTCATAAACTACCCACTTGAGTTGAACTGTGAAGACTAAAGAAGACCATGACCGCCACGACGACCCGAAGATGATGGCTGTAGAGCTTCAGATGCTTTGAACACTCTCTCTCTCTCTTTAATAAATCTCTGTGATCGTCTTCCTGTACCAAACAGTCCAGAGTTGTAAGGCACTGAGATCGAATCTGCACCAGTTCTTATTTCCCTCTGAATGAAAGGATTCGGAGAGGAAAGAAGGACTAAGACCGAGGGGTGTGGGAGATAAAAGGGGAATTCCTTTCTAGCGTGAGAAAGAGCTATCGTCGTTGGGAATGGAAAAATAATTGGGGAAGGAAAATTATAATGAAGAGGAGAGGAGGGTGAGAGAGAGGGGAAGCAAAGCGTGATGCAGATGGGGAGTGGGTCCCGCCAAGAGATTTTCGCGAGTAGGTGAATATATCGGCGCGGGGGAGTCTCATGGATCATATCCCCGATTTCTCCCCTTTTACTTCGCATTGTCAGCTGCGCTGTTCTGCCCTCAATCTGAACCGTCAACTCCAATCACGTTGAAGACGCTCACGTCCTTGCCGTTTTGCTGCCCATGTTTTTTTTTTTTTCTCCAGAGCTTGTTTGGAGTTCATTCAAAACAAATTTTTTAACAAGTTTACATAAATCAAGATAAAATTATCCTCATATACTAACATTGTATTTCATAAATCATATTTAAAAAACTACTTACAAGTGAATCCAAACAAATCCTTAATCTTTTTTTCCTGCGGTTTGGAGTTTTTTCCCTCCCTCCTCAGTTTGGAGGCTTTTTTCTGGCCATCAAACTCTTTTTTCCTGGCCGCACCAACGAAGGAAAAAGGTTTGACAACTAATTTATGAGACTTTTAAATCTGAATTAATAAATTTGATATGAAGAAATTAAATTTGGTTTTAAATATAACGTTTCAATCCACTTTATTTATCAAATTTATAAGGTCTTCTCTAAAATATTTCTGCTGATTATCTATTGATTGTAAGAGTCTAAGAAATTCCTTGTATAAAAAAAAAAAAAAGAGTCTAAGGAATTCCACTAAAGGGTAAGTCAAATATACATAATTAAATAGGATAGTTTAGGAAAGTCATGACATATTTGTTATCATTAATTAACTTAACTAATTTTCTTAATATCTCTGAATTATTTTTTTTTGGTTAACTAACTAAATTAGTTATCCAATTTTTATATTAAGCATTAAAATATAATAAGATCTATGGGTAATAGTGGTCAGTGTGGGCACACAAAAAAATATACCGTCTTCGTTATTGCTAATGTTTATGCGATTGACGGGGAAATTTTTCCATTTCCGTTATCTGGGAAGGACAACTCTTGCCGTCGGAGCATCTCGAATTTTAAAACACACACTAACACGTAATGACTGTTGAGGTTCTTGACTAACCTGCCAAACAAATTGTAACGAAGTTGAGGGGGAAAAAACAACTTTAAATAACAAGTTTTATGACAATTAAGTGGAGGAAATAAATGAGAATAAATATATTAACTTAATTAGTTCAAAAATAACATATTTAATACCGATAGCAATAGTTGGCAACAAAAATAATACCCATGCTAATAACGACTAAAGTGACTGAACGAAAGAACTGAGTAATAAGATATATGTTTAAAAATTTTAAAATTATTTAGGGCAAGAAATAAAAGAAAAATAATTTAATATGTCAAGTTCTCTGTCTTATTTTTATCATGTAAATTTATTATTAAATGCTAATGCTTTCAAAATAGAACACATGGTTATGCATCTTTTTTTTTCCAGTTAGGTTTATAATTAAACATTAATGTTTTAAAAATACAAATTGCAGGACTTGACTGCAAAACAAAACAATAGAAGTGTATTTACTAAACCCATGCTCATTCCCGTCCTCCTCCAAAAACGCCGAATACAAAGGCTCCATCTCCATGCACCTGAAGTCTCTCAAGTGACAATAATCCCAAATTTATATCCGAATTATATCATTTTTTCCTCCTTACAGCCGAAGACTTCGGTCAAATGCTACCTTTATAATTTGACCGTTTTTAAGCAATACCCTCCAGCTCTCCACCCAAAAAAATATTTAAAAAAAACTGATATGGAAATTGCAGTGTGATAATGCGTTCCGCTCGCCTTCGTCCTAAGAGTGAAGTCTAACGAACAAGATGCCAGATGCAAAAAGACGAGGATGAATCAACTTAACGAATACAAGTTGTTCGTCAGAATGCCAATCATTTAAAAGAGCTTTTATGATTATTGCTGCTGTTATTGTTGTTATTATTATTATTATGAACTCTGACTTCAAATTGCATTGTCGTCCCAGAAGAATAGGATGTTGTCACGCTCTTTCTTCGATTGGTCTGCACAGTAATATCGTATATCTGCCCTGCTGGCCACCCAACCAGTGCCAGTTTCTAACACTTCTCCTACCACCCAACCGGCGGCCGGGGCTGTGATACTATTGCTCGACAGGTCCTCAAGCGTTAACTTAAACACTCCTGTTCTAGAATACCTCTTCAAGTACGGTGACAAAAAATGGATCCTCTTTTTGCACCGTTTAACCTGGTGGGTTTCTAACACTTTTCTTTTCCTCAACTTGTCTCTGGGTTGCCTTCTCAGTTCTCGTCTTCCAGGCTTTCTAATCCCAAAGATCATACCACCGTGAGTCCTAGATATAAGAGCTAGTTAATTTATTTAAGTAGATTAAGAAAATAAAATAAATTAGTTATTTATAGTAAATAGGTGTTGTCTTTTCTAAAATATTCTTACTAATCAAGTTTATTAGCTAAAACTACTACTATTAAAAAGATTATCTTAAAAAAAATTAGATACAAAATGAATTAAATTCTTATATTTAGAATCAAAATAAAAATAAAATAAATCTTATATTAAAGACTGGAGTACTCATCAACACATCACATGCCGAGTAAAACGATGCCACATATTTTAATCTAGATGGGCCTTGAAAAGTTACATGGACAACTCTAGGGGATGTCTCGGGCCAGGTTCTTTTTCCTTTCGGCCTGCAAACGTGCCATGTGGACTAAGAGTATCGGCTCCATGTTTTCTGATATCGAAAAAAGTAAAAGAAAACCTTCAAGAGGGTTACTGCACTCTGCGATTATTGTTTGACATGATGGAAGAAAAAACACAAGGTGATGACGCCTTGGGATAGCTGATCGGATCCTGGTCTGAGATGAGGGTCTGTAGATGGAACAAATTGCTTCAGGGTTCGGTGAACGAGAGGAATGTCCACAGTGCTTGAATTAATTAAGATACTGCTATCTCATTTTCCAAGCTATCGCCTTGTCACATTTGACACAAAGGGGACGCCTTTTGGAAGAAGTCACTGCAGCAGACAAATGAAAACAAGGACTCAACTTTGAAATGAGAAGAAGATCTTAATTATACTCCGTCTCTTATTAAAAATTTTTTAACTAAATTGCACGACTTAAGAAAACAGTTAAAATTAGTTAAAAACAATTAATATGTAGCAAATTCAATTTTTTTCCAAATATACCCTATGTATAAATGGATAAATATGAGAGAGTAATTGTAAGATAAATAAAAAAAGAGAATGTATTAAACACATCAAATTAAAGGTAAAATAAGTAATAGTGTATTAAATGCTCAGACAACCTCAAAGAGGATCTTATAAAAAGAGACAAATTCATTCAAAAAATTGGATCTTATAATAAGAGGCGGAAGGAGTGTCTCTAAACGGATAGCCATCAAATTACTATTATAATTAGCTGAATTCTCCACCGAATTGCTTGCATGTATTTTTGTGAATTTTAATTAGAGAGAAGGAAAGGGTCGATGGTCAACCGTGAAAGCATACATGAGTGTGCGGTGTGAGCGAGGCGCAGCATCATTGCTTGAGGGCCGACGCCGAATAGAAGTGTGAGGTTAATAAATGAGATGGTGCCATCCCAACTAACTAACTACCTAGGGCAGTTTACTGTGACAAAGGTTGTAGCTTGGAACATAATGCGCTTGTGAGTCTTTCATAGAGAGCTGCTTGAGACCATCTGCCCCAAGGAAGCGGCATGGATTCACAATAAACCAGATGGTCAAACCACCTGCATTCTTGCCATCCCCATATATGCTGTAATTGGAGCTACTATGGCCAAGGCCCAGGGAAGCTATAGAACACAGCTGCAGCAGAAAACAGCCGACAGTGTTTTTCTCCCCCCTTCCCTCTAAGTTTAAGCTCATTGTTTTAGGCTTTTAGCTTCCACTTTTACTCTATAAATTCCTTAGCAGGCCATCCCTTCCCACATGACTTGTAGCAGAAGCAAGTTTCTGCATAGGTTTGTATCATACAACCATGACCGGATGTTACGCATAATGATGCAGCATAATCACTATCTCAATGACACGAGCAGTGTTGATACCAGGATCCTCGAAAAGGATTCCCACCCTGTTTTTTCAATTGCTGAAATGCGTAGGCAGTTCCATCTTTTTTGGTTCCCTTCTTTAACAACCTTCAGACGTGCTTTCTCTTATGTTTACTGGTGTGTCCATATAATTTCCCCTGCCAAAGGGCTTTCCCGCCCAAATTGCTGAAATTACTTTTATGATATTGAGGGAAGCAGCCGAAAGGTTCAAGTGTCCGCTGGAAACTTGATGAATACTTTCCTGCTGATCTGCTGCTTTCGTCAAGCTCCGAGTATGGAGGTTGATTTGCGGAGACAGTGTATCTTGATGGAGGGTCTAACCTAAAATCAAAGCAAAATGTCACATATGCTCCCTGCAAGAGAATCCAAATTGGGAGAACAGTGGAAAAGGTCATATATATACTTTTCACTGCCTGGATTTTGATATCCGTGAAAGGCCCGGTTTTAATGACAGTGAAACTAAAAGGGACATTAATGCAGGTGGGTATCTTAATCTAATATGACCCTGCAAAGGCAACACTTGCTGCTATTCTCTCTCTCTCTCTCTTTTTTGGGACTATTCTATAGATGCTGCCGTGTGGATATATCTCTCCACAGAAATTGACAAAGTGTTGGAAAGTATCCTTCATTAATTGCAATCAGGCAATAGATTACAAGAAAGCAGATAATTAAGGGTTTCAACTTTAAAGATGAAAGAATGATGAATATTGGGAAATGGGTTAATGAACCCCACCCGGATCACTAACAGAACTTCTTTCGAGCTTTAGCAACTTGTCATCCAGCTATTCCAGTTGAAAATTTTCTGTCAAGCTAAGGAACCAGATGAAGCAGCTTCTGTGATAGCAGCATGGACAATTGGTTTCATGCATTTTTCCAAGGGCACAAACTAGCATGTCATTGCATGAATCAGGTTACATGCGTG